GGAGACACTGGGACACCCAGGGGGAAAACCTTGGCTGTGAAGATCCACCTGCTGAAACCCTCAGCAGGGCATCAAACACTGACCTCTCACGCCTGGATCAAACACCTCATTAAGACAGGCGGGTAAAACAGTGAAAATCAATTTAAAGGAGAAAATGAAATCATAATGCTCGGTTGATGGCCTTTATTTTTTTATTCTTTCCCTACATTTGAGACTTATTGGAGACTCTCTCCACTCCAGCAGCACTCATCCCCACGCACATTCGATTCCGCAATTTAACGTGAAATGTGAAGCGGAGTTGGGTTCAAACGGGAAGCGAGGCTGTCTGTAAGGAAACACTGCAGAGAGGAGAGCAGAAAAATTAAAAATCTGCCCAAGGAAAAATGCTTCCCTCCCAGCCTAGCATGCCCGGGCTCAGCAGGGCGATAACAAAGCAATCTTTTCGTGTAGATCAATAGGGTTTTTCTTTCGGGAGACCACATCATTTCTTACCCCGGCACACATTAAAACCCGCCCTTCGCTCCGTGTGTGGATGCACGGCCGGGAGTGCGTGTGTGGTGTGTGTGTGTGTGTGTGTGTGTGTGTGTGTGTGTGTGTGTGTGTGTACCGTGTCTGGGCTCCGACCATCTGGTTTGTTTCAGTCCAGGGTTTCCCTTTTCTAAATCATCTCGGGACGGGAGTAGTTTAGGTACTTTTTCTCGTTTTGATTTGTTTCTGCAACCAATCTTGTGTGACAAAGCCGAGGCTGAGACCGGCTGGGCGAACAGAAGCCGTTCGGAGGCTGAGAGAGCGGGATTCATTCCCTCTCGTTCCACTGTGGATCATCCCCGATTAAAACGGGAACCACAGTGTGCCTTGGACCGGGCAGCAGCGGAGTCGGTGACCGGGACACGCTGCGGCGCGCTGGGTGCGCGATGCTGAGCGGGACAGGCAGGTCCAGGCGGGAGCAAGGACAAGGCACCGGCCGCATCCCATCAGCAGCGCCTCGGATCAGCCCTTCTTGCCTCCCCCGTCCATTTTCGACCTCATCGAGGTCTCCATGACTATAGCAGCGAGCGGCTCCACCCGAGTTCCGCGTTGTCGGGGGCTCCCCCCGAGGTCTGCCCACCTCTCCAGAGAGGGGGAGAGCAGGCAGCGGGGCAGGGCAGGGTGGGCAGGCAGCAGACACCCGCATCTGTTTCGCTTCGAGCCGTGCGGGACCAGCCTGCAGACGGAGCGATCGGGAGGCAGCTGCCCTGCGACCGGGGAGCGCGGGGGGCGGTCGAGCATCTTCTTCCCCGGAGCATCCCCCGGGCGGTGTCCCCTGCCCCCGGCCGCTCGTAACGCGTCATTTTGCTGCTCCCCTCCCTCCCCTTCGCCGCCCTGCAGAGGCACAAGGCGCAGCTCCCGGCGGTTCCTCGCTGCCATGAAATGCACCAAGTGGAAATTCAATCGCCCCGTTGTGTGTGTGGTCGAAATCTCTGGCAGCTGCTTCGGAATTTTTTATGACACTTTCGTTTATGTAGGGGAGGCATAACTATTATTTTACTTAATAAAAGTGGAAAGCGGATCGGGTCTTTTCCCTCTCCGCTCTCTTCTATTTGTTCTTCCCATCGCTTTTCCACCGGGCTGATGAATGGAGAGTTTAAATAATGTTGGTAGGAAAGATGCGGCATCTCTGAGGCATTTCGCCGTGTTAGACAATTATATATACTTGTATATATGAAAAATAATATATCGGGAAAAGAAAGAAAATATGTATAGATATAGTTGAATATATATATATATATACATGAAAGCTTATGAGAGGGAGATAGATGCATATGTGTTGTGAACACAGGTTAGGAACATCGAAGAAGTATAAAAGTGAAAGCTCAGGAAAGCTCCCCCAGAGCTGACACGCGCCCGCGGGACAGACTTCCCACCTTCCCGAGAAACTCTCAGTACGTTTTCCCCTCTACTTTTCCCTTCCGATCGAGAAATTCTTCTCAGAATTTCTTCCCGATGTCCGCACTGGCGGCGAGGAAGGAGGATGCGACCGACTCCGCGCAGAGGCTGCGGCTCTGAAATCGCTGCTTCCACTGGAGATGTGCGGATGGAGACGTCCGCTTCTGCCCTCTCCTCGGGGTCCCGCCGAATTCGCCGAGCCTGTGCACCGAGTCGTTAGGGCTTGAGTAATTGTGACCGGCATTTGGAAGCGGGGCCGCGCAGCTGTTTGGCCCGGCTCCCCGGTATTAGTGCTGGAGATTTTATCACCAAATGCTCGCACCTGTTAACGGCAGAGACTGGCAATTCATCACCGCGGATTCTCACACTGCCGAACGTGGCCCTAGCGGGGGGACATCTCCTCATGGTACCCCCTTGGAAGAACCCATCCCCTTCCTCCCTCCCCGAGCATCCTCCCAGGGGAAAGCAGATCGTATTTGCAGAACCTCCCAAGGGAGAAAAACAAACCGAACCGAACCAAAACCTAACCGCGCGAGCGTGGTTCAAAGTGTCCGCGACAGAGACAGGGACAACCTGCTGTCACAGCCACCTACGGGACACGGGCCGGGCAGCTTCAGCCGTGGAGGTGTTCCCCGGGCCGCGCCAGCGCAGCTGCAAGGGGGCAGCGGGGCTCTGCCACCCGCGGGGACACTGCGGTGGCTCCCGGGCTTTAGAAGAAAATTCTCCCGCTTCGCCTGCAGCCCGCGACAAGGTGGGTGTCTGCTGCCCACCGCCTCCTCCTGCCAGCCGTCAGGGAAGGAGAGCGGCAGACAGGAGATCCCGAGGCCGCAGGAGACTCCCCTTCCCGAGGGGCTCCCGGGGCCTGGCCGGGCCGCCTCGCAAAGTGGTACCCGGCCGGGCCGGCCGCATCGGGCGGCGATGAGGACTCGGGTGCGGTCCCAGCACCCGCGGACACGCACAGCCTTCGCTTTGGTTGTTCGTCGCGGCGGGAGAGGCTCGGCAGAGCGCTGCTCTTCGCCCTCCGGCCCGCACCTGCCGGGCGCAGCATCCCTTCCGTGGGAGCCCTCGGAGGAGGCGGGTTTCCAGACAGGGTGCTCCGGCCTCGGTGACGTGTCGGTGACGTAAGCGCGTGGAGAAGGGGAGCGGGGATCCCCAAATTCACACGACCCCTCAAGGGGGCCCGAAGGCTCGGTCCTGGCGGAATGAGGGTCCCTGTCGCCGAGGCTGCGGGAGGTCTGCCACTCATCCCCCAGCTTCGGGGATGGGCAGCCCTCGGGGGGAGGACGGACCCTCCGCGGACCCCCGGGCCGAGGAAGGCGACCGTCGCATCGCGCAGGAATAGGGTCTGAGAGCCTCCAGCACCGCGGGGCTCTTGGGGCGGGGAGGGGCTTTATCCAGAGACGATCGCCCCCCTCCTACAGCAGCCGGCTGCAGACGAAGCTGGGGGCATCCGAGCGCCGGGGGAGCGGGCAGCGCCTTTCCTCGAAAGCATCTCGGGCGGGGGACACGCTCCCGGGGGACCGGGCCGGGCAGTCCCTCATCGTGCCCGTGGGGGCTGCGGCGGGCGCCACGTGATGCCGGGGCGGCCGTATAAAGGCCCGGGGAGCGCGGGCAGCAGGCGCAGTGTGGGAGCGTTTCCACCGGGTCCCAGCTCGGGAGGGGTGGGGAGGGGGGAGCCGCCTTCCCCACTTCTGCCCTCCCCCCTCCCTCTTCCCCTGCCCCTCCCTTCCCCCTCCCCGTCCCTCCCCCCAACCAGACAAGGAGCCGTGGCAAACCCCACTTTTCTTTTTTTTTTTTTTTTTTTTCACCATTATTTATTATCGCTGCTCCCGAGCGCCCTGCCCAGCCCACGGGCGCCCCCGTCCCCCCGCCCCCGCCCCGCGCCCCCTCCGCCGCCCCTCCCTCCGCAGCCACCACCCCGCAGCCAGCACCGCGGCCCCGCCAGCAGCGGCGCGGCGAGCGGGGCGCGGAGCGGAGCGGCGGCGCCGGGGCGCGGAGTCCCAGCGGCGGCCGCAGCCCTCCGGCACGGCCCCGGGCCCATCCCGGGAGCCGCCGCTAGGTGGGGGGGGGAGCCCGGCCCCGGCCGCCCCGGCCGCACAACAATGACTTTGGGCAGCAGCGGCGGCGGCGGCTGCGGGATCATGTCCGAGCGCTCCCCGGAGGAAGAGCCGCTCTCCGAGGTGGAGGACGCGGATATCGACGTGGTGGGCCCGCCCCAGGATGGGGGCAAGTACAGCGAGGAGGAGGAGGACGAGGACGAGGAGGAGGAGGACGAGGAGGACGGCGGCGATCCGCTGGGGCTGGCGCTGCCGCGGAGCGGGGCCGCCAAGGCGCGCATGGGGGGGTCCCCGGAGCGGCTGTCCCCCGCCGGCGGCTCGGAGCCGGCCTGCGCCCGCGGCGCCGCGCCCGGGGAGAAGGCGCCCGCGGGCGGCGGCGGCGGCGGCGCGGGAGGGAAGAACCCGCTGGTGAAGCCGCCCTACTCCTACATCGCCCTCATCACCATGGCCATCCTGCAGAGCCCCAAGAAGCGGCTGACGCTGAGCGAGATCTGCGAGTTCATCAGCGGGCGCTTCCCGTACTACCGGGAGAAGTTCCCCGCCTGGCAGAACAGCATCCGCCACAACCTCTCCCTCAACGACTGCTTCGTCAAGATCCCCCGGGAGCCCGGCAACCCGGGCAAGGGCAACTACTGGACGCTGGACCCCGAGTCCGCCGACATGTTCGACAACGGGAGCTTCCTGCGCCGGAGGAAGCGCTTCAAGCGGCAGCAGCAGCTGCACCCGCCGCACCCCGAGCTGCTGCTGCGGGCCGGGGCCGCCGACCCCGCCGCCTTCCTGCCCGGCTTCGCCTACGGACCTTACGGCTACAACTACGGCCTGCAGCTCCAGGGTTACCCCCACCACCACCACCACCATCCCGGTGGCGGAGGCGGCGGCGCCGCGGGCGCCTTCCCCTTCCCGGCGCCGCACTGCCCGTTACCGGCTCCGCCGCCTCCCGCCGCCGCCTCCGTCTTCTCCGCCGCCTCGGGGCTGCCCTCCTTCCTGGGCGGCGAGCTGAACTGCAGGAAGTCCTTCTACCACCCCCAGCTGAGCCCCACCGCCCTGCCCGCCGCCCTCCTCCAGACCCTCAAGCCGGACCCCTCGCCCGCCGGCGGCGGCGGCGGCGGCGGCGGCAGCGGCGGCGGCACCAACCACCCCTCCCGGCCCTCTTTTTCCATAGACAACATCATCGGGGGGGCCGTGCCCCCGCCGCCCAGCACCAACCCCAGCGTCGCGCCCGCCGCGCCCTACCCCGCCGGCCAGGCGGGCCCCCCGGCGCAGGTCCTGGCCGTGCTCAGCCCCGCCTTGGCCCCGGCACAGCCCCAGGTCAGCCTGGCACACGAGCCGCTCCTCCAGCCGGCCCAGAACTTTTCCAGTAAAATCACAACCCTCAGCAGCTGTCATTTTTAAAGTGTGCTGGGGACTGGGGAAGGGGAGGGGGATGGGGGGAGAGTCGCGAAGCAAACGGCCCCTTTCCAGCTCTCCCCCACTCCTCCGAAACTGCTCCCCTTCCCTCTCCCCGTGTCCCCCCCCCCCACCCCCCATCTCCTCCTGTTCTGTTTTAAGGTAGGAAATATTTCCTTTTTTAATTTTTTTTTTATTTTTACTTAATTTCCAGGCTCAGTGGCATCCAGATCTGTTTGTCTCTCTTTGCTCGGAAAAAGACCCCAAATTAATTCAACAAATCGGGAGGGCGGGAGGAGGGAAAGAATAACACGATTTGGTCCTACAAGCGCCAAAGCGTGTTTATGAAGTGGCCGTAACGTAAGCTGGGACCTGGGCTGGTTGAACACGCAACGTCTTGTGAGGGGCGGAGGGGGGGCATGTGAAGAACGAAATGGTCTTAGGGTGGGAAATGTTTCCTTTGAGAGGTGCGGGTTTTCCGCGGGGGTCCCCAGATCGCTGGGAAAGCGGCCAGGGGAGTTGCGGCCGCCCCCGGTCGCAGCGAGCCCGTTTGCGTTCCTGCAAGCCTCTGTGCCGGCTGCTTTTGCCATGTGTGTCTGTCTCTCCCCTGCTCTCAAAGAAAATGTTTTAATGGTCCGATCTTATTTTTAGTTTCTTTGAAGCTTCGGGTTTGGTTTTAAAAGGCACTGTTTAAGGTTTCTTTGTTTTTAAGAAGAAGAAAAGTCGGTGAAACTCAGGACTGCGTTTTTTTTTTATTCTTTTTGCCTTTTTTTTTTTTTTTTCCCCAATTAGACATTCAAATGCACGTTTAAAAGAAAATCGGATCCGTCAGGAAGTTTGGAGAATTCTCATACTATTTTTTTTTTAAATCCCCGTTTTCCCACCCCCTCCGTGCGTGGGTTTTTTGGTGTATTGGTAATTATTTGTATATAGATTATTCGGGAGCTAATGAGCGGAGTCCAGTTAACTCTTCACTGGTTGTGCATCCGTCATATCTATTTTATTGAGAGAATCTGTGAATAATTTGATGTGGAAAAGGCAACAGAATTTTGTCCACCGTTGGTGTAAATTAATAAATGTTTGTGACCTGGTTAAAAAAAAAACAAAACAAAACAATTCAAATCGTTCTTTGCGATGTCCTTTGTCACGCTGAGAGACGAGAGCCCCGCTCGGGCCTCGGGGAAGCGAGGGGTTCCCAACTCGGGCAGGCGACACCCGGGCGTTCGGCGGGGGCTGCGCAGCCCCTCCGCGGCCGGGCGCGCAGCCTGCGCGGGGCTGCTCCGCGCCGCCCCTGCCCAGCGCCGCGGGCTGCCGCACCGCCGGCCGCGGTGGCCGTCCCCGCTGTAGGTCCACAGGCTGGCAAGCGAAAAGTTCCCCGGATTTTTT